AAGCTTTAGTAATGTTTATTTTTCAAATATGGGTGCCCTTGTATTTGGGGTATAGATGATCAAAATTGAGACACCATCTTAGTGGAATTGTCCTTTAATGACTTTGAAATATCCTTCTCCATCTCTTTTGATTAATTTTGACTTGATGTCTATTTTGTTAGATATTAGGATAGCCCCCCCCCCCCAGCTTGCTTCTTAGGTTGGTTTAATTGGAAAATCTTTTTCTAGCCCTTAACTCTGATGTAATGTTTGTCTTGCTGGTGTGTATTTCCCTACTTTGGGTTTTGTTAGTGTGGGATTATCTATTGTCTGTATTTTTGTTGGTGTCGATAACTTTCTTGGGTTGGAGTTTTCCTTCTAGGGCCTTCTGTAGAGCTAGATTTGTGGATAGATATTGATCAAGTTTGACATTGTAATGAAATACCTTGTTTTCTCCATTTATGGTTTTGAAAGTTTTTCTAGGTATTGTAGTCTGGGCTGGCATCTATGGTCTCTTAGAGTCTTCAAGAGGTCTATCCATCCTCATCTGGCTTTTAGAGTCTGCATTGAGAAGTCTGATTTAATTCTGACAGGTCTGCCTTTATATTTTACTTGGCCTTTTTCCTTTGAAGCTTTTGATATTCTTTCTTTATTCCATATGTTTAGTATTTTGATTACTATGTGGTGAAGGACTTTTTTGTTTGGTCTTGTCTATTTGGTGTTACGTAAGTTTTTGTAACTCTTTAGGTATGTCATTCTTTAGGTTGGAAGATTTTTCTTCCATGATGTTGTTGAATATTCTTTCTGGGCTTTTGAGCGGGGACTTTTCTCCTTCTTCTATCCCTATTAATCTTAGGCTTGGTCTTTTCATAGTATTCCAAATTTTCTAGATTTTTATGTTAGGAATCTTTTATATTTAACATTTTCTTTGACCAATGAATCTATCTCCTCGATTGTACATTCAGTGCCTAAGATTCTCTGTTCCATCTCATGTATTCTGTTGGTGATGCTTGCATCGCTTGCCCTCTTCCAGAATTCCCTCAGTTTGTGTTTTCTCTATTGCTCCTATTTCTATTTTAAAGTCTTTAACAGTTTTATTTGTTTCCATCAACTGTTTGCTTGTTTGTTTGTTTGTTTTGTTTTCTGGACATTCTTTAAGAGAATTATTGATTTCCTCCAATTTTTTGGTTGTCTTTTCTTCCATTTCTTTAAGAGATCTTTTTCATTTCCTCTTTAAGAACCTCTATCATCTTCATAACGTTATTTTTAGTTCGTTTTATTGTGCTTCAGCTGCATTGGAATGTTCTGGTCTTGCTTTCATAGGACAGCTGGGTTCTGGTAGTGACAAATTGCCTTTTCTGTTATTATGTTCTCACATTGGTGTTTAATCATCTGCATTTGAGTTGATTATAGGTGTAGGTGTTGATTCCTCTGTTTGTCTTTGTTGGATGGGTGTTTTGTTCCTTGGTTTCTGTTTCTTCTCTGGTCTTCTGGCCTAAATTGCCAAGGGTTCTGGTGACTGGTTCCATAGGGTATCTCCACTGGAGTTTTGGAGGCCTTGGGTCTATTGATATGGTCTGGCATCTGGTACAGCTGAATTTTCTTGGGTCTATGGATCTGGCCTGCCCTCCAGTAAAACCTGAGTCTTCTGGGGTACCTCGAATCAGCTTGACCTCTGGTAGTGCTTCTGGGACTGTTCTTCTGGCTGGTGTGTACATGGGCCTATGGGATCTGTTCTTCCAACTGGTGTGGATTATGTCTGGGCCTATGCAGTCTGTTGGAGTTCTGGGGGAAAGCTGCTTGTTGACTAGTGAAGCAGTTGTAGCTGGTGTGGTCCGCGCCGCAGTGGCAGAAGTCCGCTGGGATTTGGGGTGGGGAGCCCAGTAGCAGCAAGGCCAGGTAGGAGCTGGGATGGTGTTGGCCTGGGGAAGGTTCACCAGGGACAGAATCCAGCGAGGGGTACAGTTCCACTGGAAGATGGGCCACTCACCCATTCTGACTTATGTGGCCTGGGACTCAGTAGTCACTAATATTTTTATAACAAATATGTCTTTAGAATTAGTAGCTGGACTCAGATGAGGTAGTTCCAATTTTGTTTGCAACATCCAGAGCATTGTTAGCATGAGCCAGATGGATATCCCCTCTCTATGTCAGGTTTGATCAGTATAGCAGCCTGTCTGATCTGATGAATGCTGGATGTGACTTCACAGCGAACACATGTAATCTTCTGTCTTCTTCATGACTGTCTCAGCAGTCTGGCCAATGATGCTGGCATAGTGGTTAAGCCTGTTTCTCCTGGGTGTTCTATTGTGAGAGTATTTAGGCCTCCTCTGCAGCCACAGAGGCTTGGACCTTGACTGAAGGTTGGAATGAGGATCTGCTTCTTCATATGGTAGACATCTTCCAGCACACCCATGCTTTGACTGCAGCGCAGGAAGAAACTTCCTTCGTTTGTTTTTTTTTTTTTTCACTATTTTGGCAAAAATACTGTTATAAATCACCATGTACTTACTAAGAATCAAAACTGAGTCCTCTACAAGAGCAGCCAGTACTCTGAACTGCTAAGCCATCTCTCAAGCTCTTGGGTGAAATTAATGATAGTTACCTCCCCATCTACATATCACAAGCACTATTGAACATAAACCTAATCATCTCTCCCTCCTTAATTTCTGTGTCTGGTAGAAGTTTAGTTCTGTTTTGACTTCTTCACTTTTGCTGTGTATAATGTGGTCCAAGACCTCTTATTCATACTTCCTGCTGAAATAGTGGCTTCAGATTCATTTAGTGAAGTTCTGTTGATAAACTCTCCATTTTGTTTCTCTGAAAAACATTTTGTTTCAACTTTTAAAATATATTTAGATGCATTTAAAGTATTGTGTTGCATATAACTTTGTCGTTGTTTTTACTTCATGCTATTGTGTCAACTATCAGTCAATTTGTAATGAGTTTCCTTCTGTAAGGAAATCAGATCATTGTTGATCTGATCTATTATAATTTGTGCTATTTGGGATTCATCTAACTTCCTAATCGGAGGTTTATTGTCTTGCCATTTTTGGAAATCCTAAATGCTCATCCTGATTGTTCGTTCTCTCTCTCTCTCTCTCTCTCTCTCTCTCTCCCTCCCTCCCTCCCTCCCTCTCTCTCTCTCTCTCTCTCCCCCCTTTTCTCTCCCTACCTCCCTCCCTCTCTCCCTACTTTCTCTTCCTCCCTCCCTCCCTCCCTCCCTCCTTCCTCCCCTCTCTCTCTCCAGGATCTCACAATGTATTTCTGCCTACCCTAGAACTCATACATGGCCCTGTCTCTGCCTTCTAAGTGTGGGATTAAGCATGTGCACCACAATCTACAATGTCTGGCTCTTTAAAAACATTTATTTATTAATTCATTTTAAGTGCATGAGCATTTTGTTTGCATGTATGTGTACCATGTATGTGCCTGGTGCCTGCTAAGGTCAGCAAAGTGTGTCAGATCTCTAACACTGGAGTTACAGATGTTTGTGAGCTGCCCTGTATGTTCTGGGTACTGGACCCAGGTCCTCTGTAAGAACAGAAAGTGATCTTAACTTACAAGCCATCTCTCCAACCCCCGTGATGTTTCCCTTTGATTCTTTCTGGTAATCTACGTGCAATTTAAGAGACTCCCCTCTGTTCATATTTCAGTTTTTAACTTTTGTGTTCAGTCCTCAGAATTTTTTCGACTTTTGTTTTCTAGTTTCTCCATTTTTTTAGGTATATGAAATTATTTGCTGTGTTCTAACTTAATGACTGTATTTTTTAAATGACTTATGTCACATTGGGTCTATTTTGCGTTTCTTTCCTGTTATACTTTTTATTTTGTTTTATTATTTATTTATTTTGGTTTTTCAAGATAGATTCTCTGTGCAACCCTTACTGCCTGGCTATCCTGGAACTCACTCTATAGACTAGGCTGGCCTCAAACTCAGAGATCCACTTCATTTGTCTCTTGAGAGCTAGGATTAAAGCCATGAGCTAACACCTTCTGGCCTATTATATTTTCAATTCTCTTTCTTAAATATACTACAAACATAATTATGTTTATGTACCTCACTAATAAATATATACATACTCTTTTAGATCTGATGATTAATTGTTTGATTGTCAATTCATAAAAAACATTTCTTCATGTTTAGTGATTTTTTTATTGTACATTTGTGTTCTTTTGACACATATTATGGAAATTCTATGAAATCTCAATTTAGAAAATAGCTTCAAGGGAAGTTTTACTTTTGTTTCTCTTGCCTAAGACCAATTTAGGTGATAATTTCGGGTTATGGATTTTCATGTCACCTAAGTCATACAAGTTCAGCCCCCAAATCTCCTTTTGTTTCTCTAGCAACCATTGTTTGAACTCTACTGGGTAGGGATTTACACTTGGAAATTATTCAGGACAGACTTTTTACTGACCAGAGCAAAATTCAGAGAGCCTGATCTATGAAAACCGTATCACTCATTTACCCATTGCAGTTCTGCGTGCCACGTGTCTGATGAAACCTGCAGTGTGGACCTCCAGGATCAGGACATGCCTCAGAGCAAATGATGCTTCAGCGTTCCCCTGCTATGGCTCTCTGGCCATTACTGCTTTCTTCATAGAATGCTTTTATTTTTCTGTTACTAATTCAACCATACATTGGAGTGTGTGTGTCTGTGTGTCTGTGTGTCTGTGTGTGTCTATATGTGTTTGTGTGTGCATATATTCAGCACTTTTGGCTATGCTTTCCATGAAAGGCTTTCTGTTGCCCTGTGTTAAAACAAGTTCTTAAAAAAAAATAAGCTGAATATAAGTCATGTAAAAATCAATAAAAGTCATATATAGAGTATGTCATAGAACTTAAAGTATGTGTGTAGAAATTAACCTTTAAATATTTAATCAGTCATATTCCACCTCTCATCTAAATTAGAACCAATTTTAGAAAGAGAGACAGTAAGTAAAATGGTCGATCAGACACTACTGTTGTTAAAAGTTGAAGAAATATGGACGGTGTTTCTTTTACCACCTTTGTCCAGGAAAGTGTCCAGGACTTGAGAAAGAGGGTCACAGTTCTTGACTGCCAATTGCGAAAATCTGAAATGGCTCGGAAAACCTTTAAGGCATCTACTGAAAGGCTCCTTCATTTTGTCGAGGTAAGTTTTATCTAAATCACTTGTGCATCTGTGGATTTTGATAGACCCAGGGATCCTGAAAACACTCCTCTGTACATACTGAGCTATAACTATATTACATTGTTTGGTTAAAAAATCTTGTCAGACCTGAAGGCACAAGGTTGTAATCTCGCTTCTTGGGATCCTGAGGCTGGAATAGAGCAAATCCAAGACCGTCTTAGGCAACTAAATGAGGCCCTGTCTCAAAATAAAAAATTAAGAGGAGGGATGGAAATATACTTCTATGGTAGAATACTGACCTAGCATTTGATGTCCTAAACTCAGTCCCCAGTGCTGAGAGAAGAAAAGAGAGAGGAAGGGAAGGAGGGAGGGGGAATAAGTACTGTCACAGAAAAATGTCATGGTGTTTGGTGAGTACAGAAATATCTCTGTTTCAAAACAGCGATTCTAACTTGCAGTCAGATTTAGAGGAAAAATAGCTAATATTACATGGATTGTTAGTAATAAATATGCATGTAATAAAACATACTGTGCTTTAATACTCTCCTAAAAACCCGATACCGTGTAGACATAGTTGGGTAACTATTCACACTATCATGAAGTGCTAGAGTGTTGGCTTTCCTTATCAGTTAGGAGTGCTTGCTGCTCTTGGGAAGCCCCCGAATTCAGTTCCCAGCACCCATGTCAGGTGACTCACAACCACCTTAACTCCAATTCCACAGAAACTAACACCCTCTTCTGGCCTCTGCAAAAGTGTACACACACACACACACACACTCTCTAGAGAGGACACAGAGAGATAAATTAAATACAAATTTTTTAAATAAATAAATATCTTATAATTATTTCCAAGTAGAATTTCAGGTTAATATAATTGACTCACCCACCATAATAGGATCATCTGTATATTCAATGAAGGAGGAAATTGTAAATATTGAATAATCAAGCAAAGTTTCTGGTTTTGTTTCTAAGCTCTCAAACTTATGAATCTCCTTTACCATCTTACTTGTCACTAGGCTGTGCAGGAAGTGCTTCTGGATAGTTCTGGTCCTTTCTCGAATCTAAGGTAAGAGTGCACTGCTGCACGTGGACACTGATTTCTTTGTGGATGATTGTGGTGAAAATACTCTCGGGTTGTATCAGGATGCAGTGCGATTCCCACTGAACGCTTTTTAACTTTTTGGAAGGAAGTGCAGGAACATACTGTTTAGGCTCCATCTCTTTAAAAGAAACTACAGGAAGCACTTAGACAGCCATTGTAACTTCGTACTCTGAGATTGCGGATTCACACATCCTGTCTGTGTGTGGGGAAGCTGCTGGTGGCAGACGCACCGCCGAAGACGTCTCAGCCTGGCAGATGCGTTACGTCAAATAGAATTTTGCAAAACATATTTCCACAATCAACTTCTTTCATTTTCATCATTTGGTAGATATAAATAAAAGAAGCATGTTTGTAGACTACACCTTGATTTGTTATTATCCACAGCATGCTGCTGTCTCAGGATTCCTCATAGCAGCTACAACACACACATAAGGCTCGTCTGTCCTAGACTTTGGTACCTAGTGAAGAGCGTCAACTGAAGAAAGATTGCCTACTCGCCTGTACTAAAAGTGCTTATTTCTTCATGACTGCCATAGTTCATACTGCATCCATCTCCACCAGTACCACTTCCAGAAACACAAGCTACTATCATTGAGAAAACAACAGCTCAATAGGGGAAATAAGAGCCACACACAGGCTGCTGCCTATAATACCAGTACTGGGGAGGCCAAGACAAGAGAATTTGTGTTGAATTCAAGACCAGCTAGCATGGTTACAGTGAGACTTTCTCTTTAAACAAAAAAAGAGGGGAAAATAATGTCTAAAGTTGCTAGCTTTTGCATTCATTTTAATATTTCATTTCTTATTGTGAAAGAATCAGTCATTTTTGTTGTTAACCGTACTGCTTACAATATAATTCTGTGAATTCTGTGACTACTGTTTTTGTAAGGATTTGAAAACTCTTAGTAGCCATACCTCTGTTTTACATGTTAGCTGTGCCCCACCCCTCAGTCTCATTTTGACCTTTACTAATTCAGATTTTAATATTAAATACCAAGTTTTAAAATAATTAGTTAAAAGCCAAAAGCCAGTTCTTACCGTAAAGCACTTCTTAGAAGAAAAAAAGGCCACTTTAAAAGCTGCAGTATTGGTGCTGTGCCTTGTAAGCTAAACACTACCACAATCCTGGGCTCCCGTCTTAATATACCACATCTTCTTTGTCGCCTTGGCCACTTAACACAGAGTAAAGCCTATGTGTTTGAACTGGGGATTCCTTAAGTTCATCCTTGTGAGTTAATGCCTTCATATTTAAAAAGATGGGTTGTTTTTTTTTTTTCAAACTAGAGTTGTCTGTCTTCTTTTTTGAGGAAAACGTTGCGTTCTAAATTATGTCATAATGCATTTATTTCAGATGACACTTTAGTTAAACTCTGGAACACAAAACAAAAAGTAACAAATATAGAAAAGAGATCTACAAGGGCGAAGGGGGCTCTCAGACTGGGAAGGAAATAGGATCGTGGAGCATAGCCAGAATGTGCTGCATATCGGTATATAAGTATGATATTATCAATGAACAAAATTTATTAATAAAAAATAAAATAAAATGTCATAGTAAAATATATAAAGTCCATAGGCTGTTCTGTAATTAGGAAAAACAAATGGGAGGATTTAATAGATAATTTCTTAAGTAAATATACAAGTATTGAATTTATAATTAATATTATTATCAGGAATAAAAACATCTGTTTATTAAACTAAGGTTTATATGTGTAGTCTGAAATTGTGCAAAATGGAACAAAAATATCCAACAAATCATTTAAGATGCAGGCTTGTCTTCATTTACTTCCGCCTTATGTATAAAGTCAGTCGACTTCTTACAATATGCCTATTAATACATAATAAACAAGTGAAAGCAGAGATACTAGTCTCTGTGATTCAGAGCTTGTATGGCTCTATGGATATAACGTTGCCAGAATTAGAAATATTTTTGTCCAAACACAGTGGCGATGAATTCAGGCTTAGCAAAGATGCACCGGTGTCACGTGCTGTACAGTATGCTCAAGGCCATTCCGTTGCCCACACAGTAACAGAAGAGTTGTGATGCCATCGCAGACTTCGCTCCCGCTGCTGGGAAGGAACGGACGCAACGTCCCAGCAGCCCTGCTTCTGGAATCCAAGGAGCTCGCTAGAGCTGTTCGTGCCATACTTGATATGGACTGTAAGTTGTCTTTTTTTTTCGCATTTTTTTGATAATTTGTTAAACAAGGCAGAAGAAAAAACTCAATTCTGATAGTATAATTGCATGAAATACATTTGTCTACAGTAAAATTGGTAGCCACTCATTATAACATTAACATACTGATTATGGAAAAGAGAAGCCGCTGTGTGGGAACCGTGTGTCAGCACTGGGGATCTTTCAAGTCAACACTGTGGTTTCAAGAGAAGCAGACCCTTTTCTAAGTAACTCCCCACACCCAGCACAGTGTCCTCGGGGAACACCTAAATGACTGGACACTTCTTCCTTTCCCTCATCGTGTCCCCAGGCACTCTGCCTCTTCATGAGAATTTCAGCTTTTAATAACTGTTTTCAACATACCATTTATTTTCCTGCATTGAAAATTATAGGTGATTCTTCTAACTCTAACATTTATAAAAATCAATAATAACATGTCAGTACTATAAAATAGAAAAAAATAAGAGGAATGTGATTCATGGCAGAATGTTCTTAATAGATGAAGTCTTCTCCAACAGCACTAGGCGATGTCAAACTATAATACTGTTATTTGCACATAGAGTCCCTGCAAAAGTGAGAGCTATGAGGGTAGATTAACACAGCCACCTTCGGTTCTCAGTTCCAGTAGCACAAGGTCACTGGCATGTGTAACACGATTGTCTGAAATGGTGAACAGCTCCTGGCAAAATTCTGAACAAAGGAAAATGCAATACTTTATTAATTGACTCAGTGCCTCCAAGCCTGGAAAAGCAAGGACATATTTAAACTATGCAAATGTTTTGTGTTTATCTAAAAACAAAATCATATTCCAGGATCAGGTAGCTTAAAAATTTTTAGCAATATGAATTTCTTATTGGGCATTTGAACATGATATGAGACAGAATAATTCCTTTATGTTAGACTGGGAGGGGTGGAACATCCTTCCTCTCAATACCACAGTGTGTCCCAACACTGCTCATAAGTAATGCCTCCTGCTTCCTTATAGATGTTCTTGTGGCACCATGCTTCAGCTGAGACCCTGCTCCTCAGCAGCTCACAGTCACCTAGTAACCGTCCATAGGTGCACAGAGCTGTAATAGAGAAATTTTATACAAAGAGAGAAAATGGTCACCAGGTAAATGAAAATAATATAATATTCAGAACACGATTACATTTTTAAATAAAATGAATTATTATACTTAAAGATATCATATCCATTATACAAGAATGATTTGCTATTAAAGAAACAATCTGAAGTGGATTTTATTTATTCCTGAAAAAAATATTAAATAACCTTTCCTATTTGAATATTGTGAAGATTTTAAAAAGCACTACTCATCATATTAGATATCCTAGCATAAAATTTTCTTTTAATTTAATTTTCTTAAGCTTAGAGGTTCTGTGTTATGCAATAAATATTTACTAATTACAATGCCCATTTAACAAAGATGTTAAGTACTGAAGTCATTCTTTCAACATTCCGTATCGGGATGAGAATTTCCAACCCTGATACACATACCACTTCACTCCTCTTCGTCCCTGCCGTCTGGAACATGCTACTGCACTCTCCTCCTTTCCAGGGTGAAGAAACGGGCTGGCCCACCGGCCTACGCTCACACCATCAGTTAGCAGCAAGCAGGAATCTGTAAACAGCTGTGACTCATTTCAGAGGGGGTGCTACTCGTGCACTTCAGACTGGAGCTTCTGCTTAGTTGAGGGATCCAGACAGCTGATTATTGCAGTGGTTCTCAACCTCCCTAACGCTGAGACCCTTTAACAAAGTTCCTCATGCTATGTTGACCCTCCCCCCACCACCATAAAATTATTTCATTGTTACTTCATGTAACAATGTTACTGTTATGAATTGTAGTGTAAATATCTGACATGCAGGATATCTGATTCCGAACTCTCAAAGGCACTGAGACCCCCAGGTTGAGAACCACTGCTGTAGCGGCGCTGCTCTAACACTGTCTTAGCAAGCAGCGTGGTTGCATTTTAAGTCACACTTACTTCACAGCTCTAAATACACAAGCACAAAAGGTACAATGAAGAAAGAATGATGAAATGGAGCTTTATGCAGAGTGCTAATGTTATCATCGACTATCCTATTAATCATTGCTCCATTATAAGTCACCCCAAAATTTGATGACCAAACCATTTTAGTATTCTGCCATTTAGTCCTATGGAGTAGCTAGGTTCAGCTGGACAGTTCTTAGTAGGGAATTCAGACATGGTTATAGTCAGTTAACTCCTAACATTTCAGTCATTTGATGTTTCTAGTAGGCTGGACATCTAAATGCCAACTCCAGTACCTGTTTTTTAATACCCTCTCCAGGACGGGGACCTTGGTAGTTAAATATACATGGTGCACAAAGCTCCCACACAGATGGTCAAATGAGGAAGAGGGAAACTGCCTCCTTCTGGGGCTGAGCCTCAGAAGCTGCACGCCGTTAACCTCTACCATGTTCTCTACATGCGTGCAGATGATTCCAGAGATTGGGTAGGCAGATGTTAGCTTCATGGTCACCTTTGAAGGATATAATTTTCATCATTAGAGTGTATCAGATATAATTGAGTTAGTCATGGTGGCTACATACCATCGTCCTTGTGTCGGTTAATATGGGGCACTTAGAACAGCATGTGGTCTCTGTTTCTGTCCCTTCCCTTAATATTTCCCGTTATCTGTGTTGCTCCAGCATTCCTCTGTCCATCCTAGTCCCTTCTTCTAACCTTCTCTAAGCCAGGAACCAAATACATCAAGGTGGATGGATGAAAGACTGACTGGATGGGTGGATGATCGGTGGGAGGAAGGATGGACAGATAGACAGATGAACAGGTGGGTAGAGATGCAAATGAGTAATCAGGGAAACGGAGATAATGTCCTCCTAACTGTCAAAACATTTAGTTGTGGGTATAATTCTGCCTAGTAAGTAGCATTGCTTGGCTTGAACTAACATTCACAGACCCTTTGGTAACTTTTGACCTAACAGATCCATTATTGAAGATTGGAAGCCATCCCCTAAAATACTGTCTGTTCGCTTTATAAGATGAATGTGTGTTTAAATTTTTATGTAATCTAATGCATTTTAAAAATAGAGCTATAGCCGGGCGGTGGTGGCGCACGCCTTTAATCCCAGCACTCGGGAGGCAGAGGCAGGCGGATCTCTGTGAGTTCGAGACCATCCTGGTCTAAAAGAGCTTCCAGGACAGGCTCCAAAACCACAGAGAAACCCTGTCTCGAAAAAACCAAAAAAAAATAAAAATAGAGCTATATGTCATAAAAACATAATAATTAATTATATGGAGGATTTCTCTGTGCGTTTTAGGAAGGACTAACCCCAGTCACTTCTGATAAATATGTGTATCTCAGAATTCTGTGTATTAAACATTTTTATGAGTAGGTGGGAAGAGCAGCGGGAAACACCTGCATGGACATAGCCCAGTGGACGTCACCGCCTTTAATTTTAACTACCTCACTAACATCAACCATTATCTCTGTCAAACATGATTATTCAAGGAAAATATTTGACACTCAGCAGAACTTCTTTGGAAGAGAACAGAAATCTGACGCATGCACTTTTTTTCCTTTGTGAGATTGTACGTGCTTTGATGTTTCAAACCAAGAAGCAGTTCTACAATGACTGCTTATTTAAAGTATAGCTGTTAATGTTGGCATGTTTTGTCAGTGTTTTTCAACTTTATAGGCATAGCTCTTTAGGTTTAATGAGTCTTTCTTTTTCTGTAAGCAGTGATTTTTTTTTCATGTATATAATAGGAAACAGAAAATTACTAGAATGAGGTAGCTCAGTCAGCCAAAACCCCCAACCTCATTTCTTTTGCTTTACTTATCTGTGTATTTCAAGCTATAATGTGAAATAGTCACTTGGGCAATTGCCTCTACTTTCTTTTAATATGAATACACTCCAGGATGTTATACTAAAGTTTTTCCTCAAAAATATGTAGGATAAGCTCTCTTTTACCTAACAGCTTAAAAACAAGCTCAGAGGACTATAACAAGTCTTTCTTTGTCCCTCCAGCCAGCTCCCAAATAATATCATGGAGACTTCTTATTAATTATGAAAGCTAGGTCTATAGCTTAGGCTCGTTCTTAACTAGCTCTTATAACTTAAATTAACCCATTTATATTGATCTGTATTCTATCATGTGATGTTACCTATCTTCCCTCTTGCACCTCCTGTTTCCTCTCAGTGTCTTTGCTCCTAGCTTCCTCCTCTTCATCCTTTCTCTCTCCCAAAATCCCACCTATACCTCCTGCCTAGCTATTTACCATTCAGCTTTTATTATACCAATGATAGCCATACATTTTCACACAGTGTACAAATATCCCACAATGAAAGATGATCCTGAACCCATTCTGGATTCCCTGTTTTTCTGAACTCTGATGAAATCCCCCTTCTAAAAATGTCAAATAATTGCATTTTGCATCCATTATTAGACTATTCCTGAAACCTAAGCTAGGATTTCCATATGTAGAATTCCAGGGATCATGTATGCTTTCTACACTGTAAGCATGGCCTTCCCATCCTCATCAGAGTTCCTGTGGAGACAGATGTCACACTGTCTCATATCGAAACTAGAGGATACAGTGGGGTACATGGAAAGTGCTCCATGGAGCTGAAGCTAAAGATGGTCCAAGTCTGGTTAATGCTACTGCTCAGGTGACTCCTGGGTTACATGGTAATTATATACAGCAAGTAATTGAAATTTCCTTTCTGTCCGGTAAGTATTTGGTTGTTGTCTGAAGCTTCATTCAGCGTGTATCCATTAGGAAAGGAGGTAGACGGGAGCTCTTCTGAATATAAAGCTTTTAACAATATTGCTTTTAGTTAAAGTGTGATCACCATGGGGAACTGTGGGGACGTGTTTTTATCAGCGCCTTATCTTTCTCCTGTCTATTGGTAACCATGACAACCTTTGGTCTGTTCTACTGTATTTAGTAAAACAATATGGAGGGAACACAGACATCTTCAGTGGAACCCTGGAAA